GGTGGGTGCACATAGAGTTGTGTACCTGTGTTGCTAGGGGTGGTGGGTGCACATAGAGTTGTGTATCAGTGTGTTGCTTGCTGTTGCTAGGGGTGGTGGGTGCACATAGAGTTGTGTATCAGTGTTGCTAGGGGTGGTGGGTGTGCATGAAGCTGTATATCAGTGTGATTAGGGGTGGTGGGTGCACATGAAGTTTTGTATCAGTGTTGCTAGGGGTGGTGGGTGCACATAGAGTTGAGTATCAGTGTTGCTAGGGGTGGTGGGTGTGCATGAAGCTGTATATCAGTGTGATTAGGGGTGGTGGGTGCACATGAAGTTTTGTATCAGTGTTGCTAGGGGTGGTGGGTGTGCATGACGTTTTGTATCAATGTTGCTAGGGGTGGTTGGTGTCCATGAAATTTTGTATCAGTGTTGCTAGGGGTGGTGGGTGTGCATGAAGTTTTGTATCAGTGCTGCTAGGGGTGGTGGGTGCACATAGAGTTGTGTATCTGTGCTGGTAGGGCTGGTGTGTGCACATAGAGTTGTGTATCAGTGTGGCTAGGGGTGGTGAGTGCACATGAAGCTGTATATCAGTGTACCTAGGGGTTGTGTGTGTACATGTAGATATATACATGGTTCAGGGAGGTGGGCGAGGTACATGTAGATATATACATGTTTCAGGGAGGGTGGGCGAGGTACTTGTAGATATATACATGGTTCAGGGAGGGTGGGCGAGGTACATGTAGATATATACATGGTTCAGGGAGGTGGGCGAGGTACATGTAGATATATACATGGTTCAGGGAGGGTGGGCGAGGTACTTGTAGATATATACATGTTTCAGGGAGGATAGGCGAGGTACTTTAGATATATACATGTTTCATGGAAGTGGGCGAGGTACTTGTAGATATATACATGTTTCATGGAAGTGGGCGAGGTACTTGTAGATATATACATGTTCAGGGAGGGTGGGCGAGGTAGTTGTAGATATATACATGTTTCAGTGAGGGGAGGCGAGGTACTTGTAGATATATACATGTTTCAGGGAGGTAGGTGAGGTTCTTGTAGATATATACATGTTTCAGGGAGGATGGGCAGGAGGTACTTGTAGATATACCTATATACATGTTTCAGGAGGAGGGGATGGGCAGGAGGTACTTGTAGATATATACATGTTTCAGGGAGGATGGGCGAGGTACTTGTAGATATATACATGGTTCAGGGAGGGTGGGCGAGGTACTTGTAGATATATACATGTTTCAGGGAGGATGGGCGAGGTACTTGTAGATATATACATGTTTCAGGGAGGGTGGGCGAGGTACTTGTAGATATATACATGTTTCAGTGAGGGGAGGCGAGGTACTTGTAGATATATACATGTTTCAGGGAGGTGGGCGAGGTACTTGTAGATATATACATGTTTCAGGGGAGGGTGGGCAGAGGTACTTGTAGATATATACATGTTTCAGGAGGGGATGGGCGAGGTACTTGTAGATATATACATGTTTCAGGGAGGATGGGCGAGGTACTTGTAGATATATATATGTTTCAGGGAGGTAGGTGAGGTTCTTGTAGATATATACATGTTTCAGGGAGGATGGGCGAGGTACTTGTAGATATATACATGTTTCAGGGAGGGTGGGCGAGGTACTTGTAAATATATACATGTTTCAGGGAGGGTAGGCGAGGTACTTGTAGATATATACATGTTTCATGGAGGATGGGCGAGGTACTTGTAGATATATACATGGTTCAGGGAGGGTGGGCGAGGTACTTGTAGATATATACATGTTTCAGGGAGGATGGGCGAGGTACTTGTAGATATATACATGTTTCAGGGAGGGCGGGCGAGGTACTTGTAGATATATACATGTTTCAGGGAGGGCAGGCGAGGTACTTATAGATATATACATGCTTCAGGGGAGGGTAGGCAGGAGGTACTTGTAGATATATACATGCTTCAGGAGGGGTGGGCGAGGTACTTGTAGATATATACATGTTTCAGTGAGGGGAGGCGGGGTAGTTGTAGATATATACATGGTTCAGGGAGGATGGGCGAGGTACTTGCAGATATATACATGCTTCAGGGAGGGTGGGCGAGGTACTTGTAGATATATACATGTTTCAGGGAGGATGGGAGAGGTACTTGTAGATATATACATTTTTCAGGGAGGGTGGGCGAGGTACTTGTAGATATATACATGTTTCAGGAAGGATGGGCGAGGTACTTGTAGATATATACATGTTTCAGGGAGGGCGGGCATGGTACTTGTAGATATATACATGTTTCAGGGAGGGCGGGCGAGGTACTTGTAGATATATACATGCTTCAGGGAGGGTAGGCGAGGTACTTGTAGATATATACATGCTTCAGGGAGGGTGGGCGAGGTACTTGTAGATATATACATGTTTCAGTGAGGGGAGGCGGGGTAGTTGTAGATATATACATGGTTCAGGGAGGATGGGCGAGGTACTTGTAGATATATACATGCTTCAGGGAGGGTGGGCGAGGTACTTGTAGATATATACATGTTTCAGGGTGGATGGGCGAAGTACTTGTAGATATATACATTTTTCAGGGAGGGTGGGCGAGGTACTTGTAGATATATACATGGTTCAGGGAGGATGGTCGAGGTACTTGTAGATACATACATGTTTCAGGGAGGATGGGCGAGGTACTTGTAGATGTATACATGTTTCAGGGAGGGTGGGCGAGGTACTTGTAGATATATACATGTTTCAGGGAGGGTAGGCGAGGTACTTGTAGATATATACATGTTTCAGGGTGGGTGGGATAGGTACTTGTAGATATATACATGTTTCAGGGAGGGTTGGCGAGGTACTTGTAGATATATGCATGCTTCAGGGAGGGTGGGCGAGGTACAGGTAGATATATACATGCTCAGGGAGGGTAGGCGAGGTACTTGTAGATATATACATGTTTCAAGGAGGGTAGGCGAGGTACTTGTAGATATATACATGTTTCAGGGAGGGTGGGCGAGGTACTTGTAGATATATACATATTTCAGGGAGGGTGGGCGAGGTACTTGTAGATATATACATATTTCAGGGAGGGTAGGCGAGGTACTTGTAGATATATACATGTTTCAGGGAGGGTGGGCGAGGTACTTGTAGATATATACATGTTTCAAGGAGGGTAGGCGAGGTACTTGTAGATATATACATGTTTCAGGGAGGGTGGGCTAGGTACTTGTAGATATATACATGTTTCAGGGAGGGTGGGCGAGGTACTTGTAGATATATGCATGCTTCAGGGAGGGTGGGCGAGGTACAGGTAGATATATACATGTTCAGGGAGGGTAGGGATGATGGGAGGACACATGCTTGTGTCATTGTTGTACAGAGTTGCTGAGGTAGACGGGCAAGAGGCTTATTCTCCTTGTTAGGCTCATTACTCATTGATCTCATTGTGATCGATATTCCCAGCGGGACGACAAGTCTAAGCGATCGACTGATTGAGCGTTTATATTGTTGCAAACAAGGTAGTCGCAGGCCCGCCTTTTCACGCCGGAAATGTAGGCCAATTTTGTGTAAAATAAGGTTTTTAATTTCCTATAGGGGAGATTATGATCTCACTGGTCATGTTTTTAGATGAGAGTATTTGATCCCTGAACGAGGATAATGAATTGTGTGCTTCTGACGCTGGGACTCGGTGCAGTATTAATTTTAGATCCAAGAGATACAGGCACTTTTGCCATTCAGCAGAGTTTCGTTCATGATATCACAGTGTCTTCTCCGCCGACCTTCCAATACATTGTCAGTGTTATTTTTCATGATGAATGTCAAGCACAGAATTCCGCTTAAAATGCAATTCTTAGGTTCTGATCCCGTGGTTTTAAGACCAGGCGATATCCCTCCTCTAGCTCTGGCTTACTGTATCACAAATGTCCATCTGTAACACCTACAAAAGTCCTGCAAGATTTCCATGTGTAATACCAACACATTCCTAGAACATGTGATATTGACAACATTCCTCCAACATATTTTCCAATTATATTCCAATTTTCATCTATAACATCTACATTCCAACAAAATCCCAAGAAACAAATATGCCTGTTATACCCACACAATTCCTCCAACATATTCATCTGTTATACCTTCAAAATTCTTAAAGCAGTTTTGTTTATATACTCATGCCAATAATGTTTGTCACCCCCTTCAATTGTTTTAACTGGAGAGGGTGTGTGGGGTGTTGGGGTGGGGAGGGGGTGACAACCATTATTGGCATGAGTGTATATGCATACACTGGCTTGGATGGTGACAGTGTTTATTATAGTACATGTGTTCTAGATGCAGGATGAATTTAGAAGTGGTTGCTATGGTGACAGTGTTCATTATAGTACATGTGTTCTAGATGCAGGATGAATGTTGAAGTGGTTGCTATGGTGACAGTGTTCATTATATAGTACATGTGTTCTAGATGCAGGATGAATGTTGAAGTGGTTGCTATGGTGACAGTGTTCATTATATAGTACATGTGTTCTAGATACAGGATGAATGTTGAAGTGGTTGCTATGGTGACAGTGTTCATTATAGTACATGTGTTCTAGATACAGGATGAATGTTGAAGTGGTTGCTATGGTGACAGTGTTCAGTGTGGTATCCGTGTTCTGGACGCAGGATAAATGTTGAAGTGGTTGCTATGGTGACAGTGTTCAGTGTGGTATCCGTGTTCTGGACGCAGGATGAATGTTGAAGTGGTTGCTATGGTGACAGTGTTCAGTGTGGTATCCGTGTTCTGGACGCAGGATGAATGTTGAAGTGGTTGCTATGGTGACAGTGTTCAGTGTGGTATCCGTGTTCTGGACGCAGGATGAATGTTGAAGTGGTTGCTATGGTGACAGTGTTCAGTGCAGTATCCGTGTTCTAGACGCAGGATGAATGTTGAAGTGGTTGCTATGGTGACAGTGTTCATTGTAGTATCCCAGTTCTAGATTCTAGATTAGGGTTGAATTTCATTGCATGGTGACAGTATTAGCAGTTTAGTATCTGTGTTCTAGATACAAGATGCCTCCTGTATGCTGAGTTCCAAGACCGGAAGTGACGTAGGAGGCCTATACGATCAAGGATCTGCCCAAGTTCATCATTTCGAAATGAAGCCATTTCTAGGTATGCCACTATCTAACGCAGGCGCATGGGAGGTAATATTTGTGACGTATATCCGAAACAAAGCAGTGTACGTGAAATTGTTTTCGAGATCAACTTCATATAAATGGTATGTTTGCAGTATCTGGAATGACCTTATTCTTCACGACACGAGAACAGCTCTATCGGTATTTGGCCTTTACTGATCAAACAGACGACAGTGTGTTCCTGACTTGTTTCGGTCTTTTTATGTCTGAAACAAACTCTGTTGGTTAATTAAGCAATTACTGTGCCTTGTTCTATATTAGTCACAGGATCAAGGGGAGGCGGGTAATGAAACCAACGATACAGTCTCAATGTACCAGTTGCTAGGAAACACAACATCTTTGTATGTGGAAACATAATACATAGTTAGTAACGTTAGACGGTGTGTTTGTATTGAAGTGTTGCAATAACTGCCGCTTATACTGCAAGAGTCAGGTAACTAGAGGTAGGCGACCGTCAGATGCTTCTAGTCATTATGTGTAAGTTGAAGATCACCTTAGACTAGCTAGAGATATTAATCAATAGCGTATAACCCTTCTCTACATATTCAATACTTTCTGACAGCTTAGGCTGAAATACAACGGCACTGACTCTAATGTAACGATCACGTACTTGCTGGAAGATGGAATATATTGAAGTGTCGGTATGTGTCATTGGTGAAGGTTAGGTGGAAGACACTAAATATTAGTATACAAAACAGGAAATGGCCCTTGGTTACACCCTATGTACGCAGCAACATCTTGCAACGTAGCCCAGAAAGTGACGCCAATGACTTAATTTAACAATCGAATCATTAGGCACAGGCAGTCTTAATCAAATTACATTGCATTTAGAGAATAAAACAAGGCCAGGTCAGCTTGGAATAGTGTGTAGTCAACGTATAACTCTTTGTAGATGGTATCGCTATTTTATGACACATGAAGAGAAGAAAGACAAAACCCTTTCTATGATCACTGCTATATATAGTGTGTGTTATACTCCCTACGAACAACTTCAAAACATGCACTTGATTGGTTAAAAAAAACCGTACTGAATGAAGCTGACTGTATACACAGGCTACATATTTTTGCTAAGGACATGCTAAGGAAATATTTGGAGTTTATTGTGCAGGGAACAACCGCAATATATTTACTATGGTCACTAGTATAGATGACGAGTCGTACGGTAATGCGTGAGGCGGCAATGCAGGTCTGTCTCTTCCAGTCTCTTGTGACCCGTTAATAATAATAATGTCCAATATACTCCTAGACTGTGGCGGTGTGATGACTACTGCAACTGGTAATTTCGCTAGCCCGAACTGGCCCCGGAAATATGCACACCATCTGAACTGTTCCTGGCACGTCAGTGTACCTCAACACAAGGTAGGTCTACCAGTGTTCTGTCACCTGTAGAGGAACAGTGTCCTGACATATCTGTGTACCTCAACACAAGGTAGGTCTACCAGTGTTCTGTCACCTGTACTGGAACAGTGTCCTGACACATCAGTGTACCTCAACACAAGGTAGGTCTACCAGTGTTCTGTCACCTGTAATGGAACAGTGTCCTGACATATCAGTGTACCTCAACACAAGGTAGGTTTACCAGTGTTCTGTCATCTGCAATGGAACAGTGTCCTGACACATCAGTGTACCTCAACACAAGGTAGGTCTACCAGTGTTCTGTCACCTACACTGGAACAGTGTCCTGACACATCAGTGTACCTCAACACAAGGTAGGTCTACCAGTGTTCTGTCACCTGTAGAGGAACAGTGTCCTGACATATCAGTGTACCTCAACACAAGGTAGGTTTACCAGTGTTCTGTCATCTGCAATGGAACAGTGTCCTGACACATCAGTGTACCTCAACACAAGGTAGGTCTACCAGTGTTCTGTCACCTACACTGGAACAGTGTCCTGACACATCAGTGTACCTCAACACAAGGTAGGTCTACCAGTGTTCTGTCACCTGTACCGGAACAGTGTCCTGACACACCAGTGTACCTCAACACAAGGTAGGTCTACCAGTGTTCTGTCACCTGTACTGGAACAGTGTCCTGACACATCAGTGTACCTCAACACAAGGTAGGTCTACCCATGTTCTGTCACCTGTAGAGGAACAGTGTCCTGACATATCTGTGTACCTCAACACAAGGTAGGTCTACCAGTGTTCTGTCACCTGTAGAGGAACAGTGTCCTGACATATCTGTGTACCTCAACACAAGGTAGGTCTACCAGTGTTCTGTCACCTGCAATGGAACAGTGTCCTGACACACCAGTGTACCTCAACACAAGGTAGGTCTACCAGTGTTCTGTCACCTGTACTGGAACAGTGTCCTGACACATCAGTGTACCTCAACACAAGGTAGGTCTACCAATGTTCTGTCACCTGTAGAGGAACAGTGTCCTGACACATCAGTGTACCTCAACACAAGGTAGGTCTACCAGTGTTCTACCAGTGTGTCCTGTCACACCAGTGTACCTCAATGGAACCAGTCTGTCATCTGCAATGGAACAGTGTCCTGACACATCAGTGTACCCTCAACACAAGGTAGGTCTACCAGTGTTCTGTCACCTACACTGGAACAGTGTCCTGACACATCAGTGTACCTCAACACAAGGTAGGTCTACCAGTGTTCTGTCACCTGTAGAGGAACAGTGTCCTGACATATCAGTGTACCTCAACACAAGGTAGGTTTACCAGTGTTCTGTCATCTGCAATGGAACAGTGTCCTGACACATCAGTGTACCTCAACACAAGGTAGGTCTACCAGTGTTCTGTCACCTACACTGGAACAGTGTCCTGACACATCAGTGTACCTCAACACAAGGTAGGTCTACCAGTGTTCTGTCACCTGTAATGGAACAGTGTCCTGACATATCAGTGTACCTCAACACAAGGTAGGTTTACCAGTGTTCTGTCATCTGCAATGGAACAGTGTCCTGACACATCAGTGTACCTCAACACAAGGTAGGTCTACCAGTGTTCTGTCACCTACACTGGAACAGTGTCCTGACACATCAGTGTACCTCAACACAAGGTAGGTCTACCAGTGTTCTGTCACCTGTACCGGAACAGTGTCCTGACACACCAGTGTACCTCAACACAAGGTAGGTCTACCAGTGTTCTGTCACCTGTACTGGAACAGTGTCCTGACACATCAGTGTACCTCAACACAAGGTAGGTCTACCAATGTTCTGTCACCTGTAGAGGAACAGTGTCCTGACATATCTGTGTACCTCAACACAAGGTAGGTCTACCAGTGTTCTGTCACCTGTAGAGGAACAGTGTCCTGACATATCTGTGTACCTCAACACAAGGTAGGTCTACCAGTGTTCTGTCACCTGCAATGGAACAGTGTCCTGACACACCAGTGTACCTCAACACAAGGTAGGTCTACCAGTGTTCTGTCACCTGTACTGGAACAGTGTCCTGACACATCAGTGTACCTCAACACAAGGTAGGTCTACCAATGTTCTGTCACCTGTAGAGGAACAGTGTCCTGACATATCTGTGTACCTCAACACAAGGTAGGTCTACCAGTGTTCTGTCACCTGTACTGGAACAGTGTCCTGACACATCAGTGTACCTCAACACAAGGTAGGTCTACCAGTGTTCTGTCACCTGTAATGGAACAGTGTCCTGACACACCAGTGTACCTCAACACAAGGTAGGTCTACCTATTTCCTATTTCGTTTCATGGATGTCTGTCACACCAATGTCTAATACACTAGCATGTCTATCATTTCAGATAGTCCACTTTACTTTCACTCACTTAGTCCTGGGACGCAAGACGCACAACCCGTGTGATGATGTCAATGATAAGCTGATGGTTATGGAGATGACGTCACATGGGCCAGTGCGGTTCTGTGCAGATCAGAATATTGGTTCCTACGTGAGTCAGTCCAACAACATAACCATTCAGCTGGTCACCAATGGTCAGCACGATGCACAGGGATTCAGAGTGTTCTATGAAACAGGTATTCAATCCATTGTTCGTGGGTTGTTTCTGTTCCACGTAAAAGGAAACTTGTTCAAGTTTAAAGTTGTTTTCGACCCTTATTTTTGCCACCTTTATTTTAAGCCATTCATCGTTCATTTAATAAAAACCTTGGTATAAAAACAGTCGGTACGTTTGTATGTCTTGCTTGGAGTGGCCGACTATTGATTTTCCCCGTCTTTCTTGAGAAGGAATAATACAAATTACTTAATGTAATCAGTCAAACAGTAGAAAAGCTCAACACACCTGCATAGAGGCAAACAATGCCTGCACATACGTGTAAGCGATGTTATCTCCAAGTAACAAACCCAGAAGGAAAATTCGGATGATCAAAGACTTGGTGGTGGGCCAGAAATACATTTTGATTACAATGAGGATAATTTCGAGCCATTTGGCTTTTGGAATCCGAAATTTATTAATCAGTAGATATGGTAGTGAATACTCATGGGATTGTGGAACATGGACTTTTTTCTAACAGTTCCTGATATATTTGTGGATATCGCCTAACCGAGTTGCTGTTCCAGACTGGCCCTGCCACGCCCTGCTGACAACGGACTTCGGTGAGTTTGCCTCCCCAGGGTGGCCCCAACAATATGCGGCCGACCAGACATGTGTGTGGACTATTACAGCGCCCCCTGACGCCAGGGTGTTTCTACACTTCACAAACATAGACTTCCCCAAATATGGCTTAGGGCGATGTAATGAACACTACGACAGCGTGGAAGTGTACGACGGAGAATCGCCCGCTGCCGCTCGCCTTACCATCCTGTGTGGATCCGAGGCCCCCTCCTCCATCACATCCCGCTACAACACATTACTGGTCAAGTTCCATTCGGACTCTTCGAAGGAAAGAACCGGATTCCATGCAACCTATAAATTCCTGTACAAAGTGACCAGTTCCCCCAGTATAGTGACCACAACCTCAGTTCGGCTTGGGGTGAAGGTGCAGCAGGAACGCCCACAACACAACGACACCTCTCTTCAGAGTGCACTTACCGCGGACTTTCTGGAACCAACGTATGACTTCTCCAACAGTGAGCATGGTTTGGCCAGTCCTGCAGATATAACCACCACACGTGATATGCAGAGACGTGAAGGTTAGAACACACGAGTTTACACTGTTGTTCCAAACATCCTTGCATCGTATAACACTGATATATCCCAGTAGAGGTATACCTAGGTGTCGATGATGTATATATCCTCTTTTACAGGTGAGAACGGTGGAGTTCTGGTAGGCGTGATGGATGACGAGACTCCAGATCAAGACAAGAAGTACCTGTACATCATGTGGACGCTCGTCACCTCGCTCTTTGTCATGCTTATCATCGTCATCATCGTCCTCGTGGTTGTCTGCAGATATTACAAGTAGGTTACAATATTAACACCACCCTCCAGCTCATCTTCTATAATTGCCCTCTGTAATCGTGACTCAGTTACTATTGCTATTGGCTATACGAGGGAAGGAATACTATCTGTAGTTGAAGGTCTTAGCCGCAGTGATACATTTCAAGGTTAAAAGGGCTGTCAAAAGGGCATACGTACATGTCTGAAGAATATCTTCACCATCCACACACAGCATACATAGTTGTAACTGAGCAGTTTACTGTGAACACGGTGCATGGTATTCACTATAAACAATACTCATTAAACAGTTTACTGTGAACATGGTGCATGGTACTCACTATAAACAATACCCATTAAACAGTTTACTGTGAACACAGTGCATGGTATTCATTAAAAACAATACCCATGAAACAGTTTACTGTGAACACGGTGCATGGTATTCATTATAAACAATACTCATTAAACAGTTTACTGTGAACACGGTGCATGGTATTCACTATAAACAATACTCATTAAACAGTTTACTGTGAACACGGTGCATGGTATTCACTATAAACAATACTCATTAAACAGTTTACTGTGAACACGGTGCATGGTATTCACTATAAACAATACTCATTAAACAGTTTACTGTGAACACGGTGCATGGTATTCACTATAAACAATACTCATTAAACAGTTTACTGTGAACACGGTGCATGGTATTCATTATAAACAATACTCATTAAACAGTTTACTGTAAACACGGTGCATGGTATTCACTATAAACAATACTCATTAAACAGTTTACTGTGAACACGGTGCATGGTATTCACTATAAACAATACTCATTAAACAGTTTACTGTGAACACGGTGCATGGTATTCATTATAAACAATACTCATTAAACAGTTTACTGCATATTGTGTTTTTTTCACAATAAATGTTAATGGAGATTGGTAATCAAGCCAATGCCATTTTCACATATTTCAGTGCAGACTCGGAGCGTCTGTGCAGTGTAACATTACAGGTGGTAGAAGGTGTGTGTCTGTTTGTAATGATCAGTGATCGATAGTACTTATTGGTTGTCCTTGAAGAACAAAACGCACAACTGACAACCTTTCCATAATATGCTTACATGATTTTCGATAACTGTCCAAGTAGGAGGGCTAAATGGTGCGCTTTATTGTAAATATTGTCAATCGTTTTTACAGAAATGTTTTTGGGCATATCACAATACAACCTGTGTTCATGTAAGCATGTAATCTCTTGTAAGGTAATATTTTTCACATAAATTATATTTTTAAGCTTTCTTGTAATAAGTTGAGTTCGATTTCAAATGTTGCCGTCAAGATTTATATTAAAAAAATGAAACATACAACTTTATTGATGACAACTTCTCATTTATTGCATAGTGCGTCGTTTCGATGTAGATTCTTACACCGTTATCAAGCTGAAAGTGATGTTAGCTTGATAACGGTGTAAGAATCTACATCGGAAGAAATGATTTCGCATGCGACTGGGTTCTACATTTGATTGTCTGTAAGTTGGATCTATTTCTAAGATCATAATTGTTATTTTCGGAGACTTGGATTTGGTATGAGTTTGTTGAGATGTTTCTTATTTTGTAAAATGAAATCAATTTGAAGCGATGTTTCGTTAGATTTTTTTGGATGACTACTACCACGAACTGCCCCACAAATAGTTCTCTGGGCGTCCAAATGCAACTTCTCGATTAATAATGATTGTTCGTTGGTACTATTGTCAAAGATATGACAGCAGTTGTCGAAGTTAGGTAAGATAAAAGACATGTACATGTAGTATCAAAAGGATTTCTGGTCATTCTGTTACTTAAGTAGTTGATCATTGGACCTACTTTCCTAATAATTTCGTTGATTTGTATTTTCCATGAACAGTCATTTTGAAGTATAATTCCTAAATGTTTATGATTTTGAACTTCAGGAGTATCTAACTGTAAGTTTGGTTTAACACTTGATTCAACTTTGCGGCTAAATGTTATATTTTTGGTCTTACCGGGGTTGAATCTGACTTGACATTTGCGGCCCAGTTTGAACATCTTTGCTAAATCGTTATTGATACAATTTGCTTCGGAGATGGAATCGTCAACTATAGTATGTGGACGTATCGTCGCAAAGAGGCGTATATTACTCTCTATGCCTTCGACAATGTCGTTTATTTATCACAGCAGTGGTCCTAGGACAGACCCTTGGGGAATCCCTGCTTGTACATATTTCCATTCATAAACTGTTCTTCATACGCCGACAGGACGCGGACCTTGTTATGAAACTGTACAGTACATAACACCTAAACCGTTACGCACTATACAATAACACGTACTATACAATAACACCTAAACGAACTAGACAATAACACCTAAACGAACTAGACAGTAACACCTAAACGCACTATAGCAACAACGCTTATGAGTGAGTGGGTGAGTTTAGTTTTACGCCGCACTCAACAATATTCCAGCTATATGGCGGCGGTAAATAATCGAGTCTGGACCAGACAATCTAATGATTGCATGAGCATCGATCTGCGCAATTGGGAACCTATGACATTTGACAACCAAGTCAGCGAGCCTGACCACCCGATCCCGTTAGTCACCTCTTACGACAAGCATAGTCGCCTTTTGTGGCAAGCATGGGTTGCTGAAGACCTATTCTACCTCGGATCTTCACGGGTCACAAGGCTCATGTCACGATGGGACAGTAACAATGACACCTCAACGTACTATACAATAACGCCTAAAAGTACAATACAATAACACCTAAAGTACAATACAATAGCACCCAAAAGTGCAATACAATAAGACCTAAAAGTGAAATACAATAACACCTAACAGTACAATATATTAACACCTAAAAGTGGAATAACACCTAAACGTGCTATACAATACCAATTAAAAACAACGCTTGCACCTGGTGTCGGGGAGGATAGAAGCTGCACATGTCTAGTCTATATTATGTTTTTTTCGGATAATTTGCCAGATAATAGAATTAAAGTATGTGTCGATTTTAAAATCCTAGAGTGATAACTTGAGATCTGTGTATATTTTGTACCAGCGTTTGCTGTCCATCATACTGCTACAACTGACGTTTATAACAAGACATTAGCTTCTGCTCCCCGTGTTCAAGTGACCTACATGAGGGTCAGTTTTAGCCTTCTCTTGTCGATCTTGTCAACGTTGTGAGTGTGGCCTGTTTCCTGCTGCTACAGACTGTCACGTCCTATCTCCTGAAGACATGTCACCGTATCAGCGTCTCAGCGCTATGTCTGTAGCAGCGTGGGTAGGAGGTTGTATCGGGGCCGCCGGGGGTGGCGACGTTATCTCCACTTACAGCAGCATCACGATACTTGGAGCCTGATACGCCGGAGCTACATGATCCTATATGTCATTCAAAATGTCATATTGTATTTAACTTTATTTATCACATTTGGCTTTGTGTTTCTTTCAATGCTGTATTCTTGGCTTGGTGATACACTGATGTTAGAATGCCGCGTGATGAGAAACCTACTCCGACAATTACCAGGTTATTTAGCGCTCTCCTCTGGGAGAAGAGCTGGCTGACGGAACACACGGCGGCTAATTACCCTGTCACTGGCCGCCGTCGCTTTAACCTAATAAGAGAGGGCTACCTCCCCTTAGTTGCCTGCACTATATCAGCCTTTAACGATATACATAACTTACTCCCATAATCAACCCTGTACACTGGCAGTTTTCAAATTATTGATTAAAGTTAAATATAGACGCGTCTCAAGTGTAAGTAGGTGTAACTGTATCATCAAGATCCGTGTAGCCTAAGAGAGCTCAGATGACCAGCCTCCGATGAGGACGAAGGGTAACGAATTCTGGCGATCAATAACAGATTGTGTGGAATGGATTAATTATCGAATGCTCATCTAAACTACATACATCATTTGTCAAGCAACGTCACTATTGTGCTTGCCATCTTATCCACTTCGTTTTGTGTCCAATTAGCAGTCGTGCATATCAAATACATAGATCAAACAAAGCCGTCTTTATTTTTCCTATAACAGACACAAGGTGCTTCTGCATGTTAACACACACACACATAAAGGCGGGATATAATGAATCTCGATAGAGCTTGTCAGCAGTGGTTGCACCATCTTGTGGACAATACAAACAGGCGACGGGAGAACACTGTCTTTGTGTGAGTTGTAAAATAGGAGCAAAAAGAGCAAACAACTGAACCAGTCCAGTCTGAATGTTGTGTGACGAGGACATGAATGTATTTCATCACAGGTAGTGGTGCAGTCAAGGTCTAGAGTCCGGGGGTCGGTGGTGCATGTTATATATTTACATATGGTTTTTGAACATGGATGACATCCATGAGTACTCAACACCGCATGGCACCATTAGGTTCTACGAGCTGGCATGGAGCGCATGGAAGATGCGTGAGTCAGTAGCGTTTCTGGATCCACTAGGGAGACATCTGTACACACAGACACCTGTGTTGACTGCTTTCTGCAGCAGTGACGGCAACCAGGTAAATAATGTGTTTCTTGTTTCAGGCGAAGACTGCCAAAGCGCCGCAATGTCCCTAACTATGCCTTCACCGAGGTGAACCTCTCTCTGTATGAGAAAGACAAGTAAGATATTTCAAACATCCATATTTTCCTTTTCATGATTCTTATTATGTTCAGACAAGTGGTTTACAAAGCAATCACGCCCACCGATTGTTGGTTATGATAGTCATAAAGTCACTACACAGCCCATGGGAGGATATTAGAAAACTGGTGCCACCTTACAAATGTGACATGAATATATCTTCACCCACTCACTCGAATAATGACATGCTGAAACATAAGCTGCTATCTGCTTCCACTTCAGCATGCTGAACGCCCAGTGTGAAGACAGTGAGACACAAGAGAGTCCGGCTTGTGGCAGGTGAGGCATCTCTCAGGCACATATACACACATGTATATATACAGAGAGAGAGAGAGAAAGAGAGGGAGGGAGAGAGAGACGGGGATGTGATGTTTTGCAATGTATATGCACACACACTTAAATAAATTAATAATGACCCAGCAATCATGTATGTATGTATGTATGTATGTATGTATGTATGTATGTATGTATGTATGTATGTATGTATGTATGTATGTATGAGTGAGTGAGTTCAGTTTTACGCCGCTTTTAACCCTATTCCAGCTATATCACGGCGGGGGACACCAGAAATTGGCTTCACACATTGTACCCAGGTGGGGAATCGAACCCGGGCTTTCGGCGTGACGTGCGAACGCTTTAACCACTAGGCTACCCCACCGCCCGTATGTATGTATGTATGTGTGTGTGTGTGTGTGTGTGTGTGTGTGTGTGTGTGTGTGTGTGTGTGTGTGTGTGTGTGTGTGTGTGTGTGTGTGTGTGTGTGTGTGTGTGTGTGTGTGTGTGTGTGTGTGTGTGTGTGTGTGTGTGTGTGTGTGTGTGTGTGTGTGTGTGTGTGTCCTGTCGGGGTTGCGAGGGCGGTGAGACACAAACGTATTTAGATCTGTCCCTACATACCAGCTAGTTTGAACAATGAGCTCACTGAAATTCAGTTCCATTTCATCAATTCAGAAAACATACCATCCAATGAATTAATCTTACCAGTTGAATTATATTTCATGTCCCATGCATACTGTGACCCTGTGTTGCATGTAAACCACTCGAAATTAGTCAATTTAGACTGACTGACTGACTGACTGACTGAGTTTGGTTTTACGCCGCTTTTTGCAATATTCCAGCAATATCACGGCGGGGGACACCAGAAATGGGCTTCACACATTGTACCCATGTGGGGATTCGAACCCGGGTCTTCGGCGTGACGAGCCAACGCTTTAACCACTAGACTACCCCACTGCCCCTAATCAATTTAGAAGATAATACGTCCAATTGTGCGCGTCTGTTGAAATAGATCAATTAACATATATCGTGAAGACGTTTTTAATGGCAAAATTCCGTTGCTATGTTTCACATACTGCAAACAATCAACACGTGCCAAGTAGGCAGTCACATCTACTGTTAAAATAAGAGTATCTGAATAAAACTGAAACATCAGGGAAAACAAGAAAACCAATTCCTAGGTAACCTTCAACAGTAGCGGGTGTTGTGATCCACGCGATCAGGACCACGCACCGTCGTCTCATTAGTGTCTGGGCGGTTGCCAAATGAAGATTGTTGAGGGTTCCGGGTGCCGCGCGACATGAGGGGGGATCTGCAGCTCGTTCCACTTGTGTACAAAATGGTTAGGTGTGGGTACCCGGCAATGCAACTTAATATATGTCCACCTCTAAACACGCACCTCAACAGTCTTCAGCCATTCTGTGTGACGTTATATATCTCCACACATGGACGGTAACTGTCTTCAGGGACAATATGTGACGTTGTATAGATCACACATGGACGTTAGCTGTCCTCAGGGACAATGTGTGACTTTATAAAGCTCCACACGTGGACGTTAGCTGTCCTCAGGGACAATGTGTGACTGTATAAAGCTCCACACGTGGACGTTAGCTGTCCTCATGGACAATGTGTGACTTTATAAAGCTCCACACGTGGACGTTACCACTCTTCTCGGAGAATGTGTGACGTTATATAGCTCAACACATGGACGTTAGCTGCCTTCAGGGACAATGAGTGACGTTATATATCTCCACACATGGACGGTAACTGTCTTCAGGGACAATGTGTGACGTTGTATAGATCACACATGGACGTTAGCTGTCTTCAGGGACAATGTGTGACGTTATATATCTCCACACGTGGACGCTGGCTGTCTTCAGGGACAATGTGTGACTTTATATATCTCCACACATGGACGCTAGCTGTCTTCAGGGACAATGTGTGACGTTATATATCTCCACACGTGGACGTTAGCTGTCTTCAAGTACAATGTGTGACGTTATAGTGAGTGAGTTAATATTTAACTTCACACTGGCAATATCGTGTGACGTTATATACCTCCACACATGGACGTTAGCTGTCTTCAGGGACAATGTGTGACGTTATATAGCTCCACAAGTGGACGTTAGCTGTCTTCAGGGACAATGTGTGACGTTATATATCTCCACACATGGACGTTAGCTGTCTTCAGGGACAATGTGTGAAGTTATATAGCTCCACACATGGACGTTAACTATCTTCAGGGACAATGTGTGACGCTATATATTTCACACATGGACGTTAACTGTCTACAGGGACAATGTGTGACGTTATATATCTCCACACATGGACGTTAAGTATCTTCAGGGACAATGTGTGACGTTATATAGTTCACACATGGACGTTAACTGTCTTCAGGGACAATGTGTGACGTTATATAGCTCTACATGTTGACGTTAACTGTGTAGCGTTATATAGCTCCACACGTGGACGTTAACTGTTTTCAGGGACAATGTGTGATGGTATATAGCTCCACACGTGGACGTTAGCTGTCTTCAGGGACAATGTGTGACGTTATATATCTCCACACATGGACGTTTACTCTCTTCAGGGACAATGTGTGACGTTATATAGCCCACACATGGACGTTAACTGTGTATCGTTATATAGCTCCACACATGCATGTTAGCTGTCCTCAGGGACAATGTGTGACGTTATATACCTCCACACATGGACCCTAGCGGTCTTCAGGGACAATGTGTGACGTAATATAGCTCCACACGTGGATGTTAGCAGTCTTCAGGGACAATGTGTGACGTTATATATCTCCACACATGGACGTTAACTGTCTTCAGGGACAATGTTTGACGTTATATATCTCCACACATGGACCTTAGCGGTCTTCAGGGACAATGTGTGACGTAATATAGCTCCACACGTGGATGTTAGCAGTCTTCAGGGACAATGTGTGACGTTATATATCTCCACACATGGACGTTAACTGTCTTCAGGGACAATGTTTGACATTGTATATCCGCACACATGGCCGTTAACTCTCTTCAGGGACAATGTGTGACGTTATATAGCTCCACACATGAACGTTAACTGTGTATCGTTATATAGCTCCACACATGCATGTTAGCTGTCTTCAGGGGCAATGTGTGACGTTATATACCTCCACACATGGACGTTAACTGTCTTCAGGGACAATGTGTAACGTAATATACCTCCACACATGGACGTTAACTGTCTTTAGGGACAATGTGTGACGTTATATAGCTCCACAAGTGGACGTTAGCTGTCTTCAGGGACAATGTGTGACGTTATATATCTCCACACATGAACGTTAGCTGTCTTCAGGGACAATGTGTGAAGTTATATAGCTCCACACATGGACGTTAACTATCTTCAGGGACAATGTGTGACGCTATATAGTTCACACATGGACGTTAACTGTCTACAGGGACAATGTGTGACGTTATATAGTTCACACATGGACGTTAACTGTCTTCAGGGACAATGTGTGACGTTATATAGCTCTACATGTTGACGTTAACTGTGTAACGTTATATAGCTCCACACGTGGACGTTAACTGTCTTCAGGGACAATGTGTGACGTTATATACCTCCACACATGGACCTTAGCGGTCTTCAGGGACAATGTGTGACGTTATATATCTCCACACATGGACGTTAACTGTCTTCAGGGACAATGTTTGACGTTATATATCTCCACACATGGCCGTTAACTCTCTTCAGGGACAATGTGTGACGTTATATAGTTCACACATGGACGTTAACTGTGTATCGTTATATAGCTCCACACATGCATGTTAGCTGTCTTCAGGGACAATGTGTGACGTTATATAGCTACACACATGGACATTAAATGTCTTCAGGGACAATGTGTGACGGCATATAGATCCACACATGGACGTTAACCGTCTTTAGGGACAATGTGTGACGTTATATAGCTCCACACATGGACGTTAAGTGTGCAGCGTTATATGTCTCCACACGTGGAAGTTAGCTTTCTTCAGGGACAATGTGTTATGTTATATAGCTCCACACATGGACGTTAGCTGTCTTCAGGGACAATGTGTGACGTTATATAGCTCCACACATGGACGTTAACTGTGTAGCGTTATATAGCTCCACACGTGGACGTTAGTTGTGACGTTATATAACTCCACACATGGACGTTTACTACCTTCAGGGACAATGTGTTACCCTATTTGTCTTCGTTTACACAGAGTATTATTATTTGTCTTCAATTGCACAAAGCAACGTTGAGTGACATCAACTGCCTTCAATAACAGTTTTCGTCTTAAATAACTCATGAAATAGTTGCTTGTTTTGGTTTTGTAGTGAATTCAACTCAGAGGAAGTCTCGTTCTACAACCCGCTGTATGAACAGAGGTTTCCTAAAACCGTAGACAGTGATGACGGCAACCCGTGCTAACACTGCTCCACATGAGAACTACTGATGTGTTGGTGCTGATATCTTCCCTGCCACGTCTACCTGCATCAGTGTTGCCAGGTGTCCGAACCCAATTATGCTTACTGGAAACATCACAGAGTGAGACATTTCTGTCGATCCGGGGTAACAAGATGAACGTGGTGGTTCCAGAGACAGCAGGGAGTACAGTGATTTCACTACACTATGCCAAAGCACACACTTATCATCTCTGGCGCCAGATAAATATTTTAACAACTTCAGCCATTTTCAATTACGGGATCTGTTTGCGTAAATGAAATCTCAATTCGCACAGCGAGACTGTAGAAAGGTGGGATATCGAGTGTAACATAAATTCGTGACATTTCCGTGTATAGATGGTTAGTAGACTTCTGGCATTTACTAAGGAGGTGTCAGTGCATTGTACTGTCCATACAGGATGCAAGTATGTTACGATAACAGGGCATGTTACAGACATTAGCAAGCATTCGACATGTGTCGACATTCCAGTGCATGTTACAGTTTGTATCAAGAGAGTGTCGTTGCTAGTGCATGTTACAGACTTTATCAAGCCAGTGTCGAGATGACAGTGGTTGTTACAGATTTTATCAAGCAAGCGTGTCGACATTGCAGTACATGTTACAGATTGTATCAAGCCAGTGTCGAGATGACAGTGGTTGTTACAGATTTTATCAAGCAAGTGTGTCGACATTGCAGTACATGTTACAGATTGTATCAAGCCAGTGTCGAGATACCAGTGCTTGTTACAGATTTTATCAAGCAAGTGTCGACATTGCAGTACATGTTACAGATTGTATCAAGCCAGTGTCGAGATACCAGTGCAAGTTACAGATTTTATCAAGCAAGTGTGTCGACATTCCAGTACATGTTACAGATTGTATCAAGCCAGTGTCGAGATACTAGTGATTATTACAGATTTTATCAAGCAAGTGTGTCGACATTGCAGTACATGTTACAGATTGTATCAAGCCAGTGTCGAGATACCAGCACATGTTAGGGATTTTACCATGCACATCTCCAGATACGGAGTGGAAACTTTCTTTTATAGAAAGTATACGCAATAGTGGAATTCGTCGGTGCATACACAGTTATTACTTCCCGTGGGACGTTATACAGAAAGGTACTATTCTTTGGATAACATGCGCCATTGTGTCATTCATGTGAGATCTGTAAATAGAACATTACTCTAACGTGTTGTAAAGCTGAATCAGTCATTTGTGAGATGTATGTTACTGCACGTGTAATGTGAACCATACTGTTTTCACCATTCGTTCACATGCGTTCGACTGTTCTATCAAAGAGAGACTATTTATGTTCCTGTATATTTTCTTATCTTACATAGTTGGATTTGATGTAACCGAATATACGTTATTCGTTCGTTGAAAATATTCTAAGCAGTCCTGTGTCATGCTGAAATAGTATCTCACTGAGGCTGCTCCGATAACGATGGTCCCCACAACACAGGTGATTGTGTTAAGGTTAAGGTTCCAGGTTTAGTGTGGAAAATGCACAACATATTTGTTAGCTCCAGGCCCCTGACTGGATAGGTTGCCGGCAGTGGAGAAGCACCCTTGGCCTTCGCGACTCCGTTAAAAGCATCACAGCCGTAATTGCCAGACGCTACCCCCGGTCCTGTGTGAGCTGTGAGATCAATTCAGTGGAAGACAGGAGTATCGTGTGCGACACTCATATCCGATGCTTCACCAGGGCAGCTAGATGCAGTCTGTTGTATCACTCTACTCTGTTGAAAGTGATCGCAACAAGTCCATGAGTAAATTCTCAGTCAATGGACAGTGTGCGAAATCATTTCCAAATGTTGCTAGCTAGTCGGTCTAACTATGCCTGAAAGTTACTAGGCCACAAAATAATTCACTAGCCCGAAATTTGAATGTAGAAACTAAGGAAAAGATTACAAAAATAGATGAGAATAAGATATTGTCGGCATCTCGCGGGCTTCATCATTAAGCTGCTTATATGATGGACATTTTATCAGGTCATAATCGTGCATGATTTAAAATAACTTAACAAGTCGGAGAGAGTGATATATTTTCAAAATGACCCTATGAAAATTGTGACTGGAAATTTACAGGCCTGACTGGATTTTACTAGCCGCGGGCTAGCGGGCCAGTGGCTATTTCGCACACTGCTTATGGTGTAAGCGTACACACGAAATGTCGGCATCAGTAGTAATGTCTTGCATGGGAAACATCACAAGGATGCTAAGTTAGCCGGAACACTCAACACCAGGGGAAGACGTGCCAATGTCACCCCACCCCCCTTCAGAAAAATAGCATACTTAGCTTTACGCCTTACGAATCGGTTGCTTCTGTTCTAACTAGTACAAGTGTTTATGTTCAATACCCACTGTAAAGTGCACTATAGATGTATATTTTGTTTTGTGGTGTGTTAACAATAACTACTGAAGCAGAGGCGGGTCCCGGGGGTTTTCAAACGGGAGTGAGGTTCATCTTTCAAGCCCGTTTCTTTAGTGGTGGGGGAGAGGTGGGTGGGTGGGGGTACGGGAGGAGTGAGTACTTACTGTGAATTCTTAACTTTATGGCTCCGCCAGAGTAGAAGGTAGCTCAAATTATGACTATACCGAAAATAGATTATTTGGTGAATTGTGTCCATCATTTTATACTATAAAATGTTTATTTATTCTGAGGTTTGTATGTGGTACTTCTCGCGGCAAATGAAGAGAGCGAGTCTGAACAGCGTCGTCTATTTCCTCAATCTTCTACAGAGATGGTCGGTTTACTCCCTTCTCTGCTTTCATCAAATATTTTACTACACGTTTCTCAGACGACTATATGGTGGGTTTTGTTAACATATAGTTTTATAAACAATAAACACTTATGTGAGATCAGATAAGTTGTGTGTCAGATAAATTTTCGCATCCATCTTTCGGGCGGATACCTATACACTTGATCGTAATTTTTATTTCGGTATACACATACAGTAACTTGGGGATCTATAAGATAGATAATTGTACATGTGGAGTTGCTACTGCCCACTCTGTTCTATTCACTAAGGAGACGATCTTCCTACCAACACGAATACTTCATAAAGATGTGAACTTAAAAACCGCGGACATACATGCATGACACAATGACAACAGTGGACCAACAAGCATGACACAATGACAACAGTGGACCAACAAGCATGACACAGTGACAACAGTGGACCAAGAAACATGGCACAGTGACAAAAGTGGACCAACAAGCATGACACAGTGACAAAAGTGGACCAACATACATGACACAGTGACAACAGTGGACCAAGAAACATGGCACAGTGACAAAAGTGGACAAACAAGCATGACACAGTGACAACAGTGGACCAAGAAACATGGCACAATGTCAACGGTGGACCAAGAAACATGGTACAGTGACAAAAGTGGACCAACAAACATGACACAATGTCAACGGTGGACCAACAAGCATGACACAGTGACAACAGTGGATCAACAAACATGACACAATGTCAACGGTGGACCAAAAAACATGACACAGTGATAACAGTGGACCAACATTCATGACACAGTGACAACAATGGACCAACAAACATGGCACAGTGTCAACAGTGGGCCAACAGGCATGACACAGTGACAACAGTGGACCAACATACATCACACAGTGACAACAGTGGATTAACAAGCATGACACAGTGACAACAGTGGACCAACAAGCATGACACAGTGACAACAGTGGACCAACAATCATGACACAGTGACAACAGTGGACCAACAAGCATGACACAGTGACAACAATGGACCAACAAACATGACACAATGACAACAGTTGACCAACAAGCATGACAAAGTGACAACAGTGGACCAACAAGCATGGCACAGTGACAACACTTGACCAACAAGCATGACACAGTGACAACAGTGGACCAAGAAACATGGCACAGTGGCAAAAGTGGACCAACATACATGACACAGTGACAAAAGTGGACCAACAAGCATGACACAGTGACAACAGTGGACCAAGAAACATGGCACAATGTCAACGGTGGAGCAAGAAACATGGCACAGTGACAAAAGTGGACCAAGAAACATGGCACAATGTCAACGGTGGACCAAGAAACATGGCACAGTGACAAAAGTGGACAACAAACATGGCACAATGTCAACAGTGGACCAAGAAACATGGCACAGTGGCAAAAGTGGACCAACATACATGACACAGTGACAAAAGTGGACCAACAAGCATGACACAGTGACAACAGTGGACCAAGAAACATGGCACAATGTCAACGGTGGACCAAGAAACATGGCACAGTGACAAAAGTGGACCAACAAACATGGCACAATGTCAACGGTGGACCAACAAGCATGACACAGTGACAAAAGTGGACCAACATACATGACACAGTGACAACAGTGGACCAAGAAACATGGTACAGTGACAAAAGTGGACCAACAAACATGACACAATGTCAACGGTGGACCAACAAGCATGACACAGTGACAACAGTGGATCAACAAACATGACACAATGTCAACGGTGGACCAAAAAACATGACACAGTGATAACAGTGGACCAACATACATGACACAGTGACAACAATGGACCAACAAACATGGCACAGTGTCAACAGTGGGCCAACAGGCATGACACAGTGACAACAGTGGACCAACATACATCACACAGTGACAACACTTGACTAACAAGCATGACTCAGTGACAACAGTGGACCAACAAGCATGACACAGTGACAACAGTGGACCAACAATCATGACACAGTGACAACAGTGGACCAACAAGCATGACACAGTGACAACAATGGACCAACATACATGACACAGTGACAAAAGTGGACCAACAAGCATGACGCAGTGACAACACTTGACCAACAAGCATGACACAGTGACAACAATGGACCAACATACATGACAAAGTGACAACAGTGGACCAACAAACATGGCACAGTGACAACAATGGACCAACAAGCATGACACAGTGACAACAATGGACCAACAAGCATGACACAGTGACAACAGTGGACCAACAAGCATGACACAGTGACAACAATGGACCAACATACATGACACAGTGACAAAAGTGGACCAACAAGCATGACGCAGTGACAACAGTTGACCAACAAGCATGACACAGTGACAACAATGGACCAACAAACATGGCACAGTGTCAACAGTGGACCAACAGGCATGACACAATGACAACAGTGGACCAACAAGCATGACACAGTGACAACAGTGGACCAACAAGCATGGCACAGTGACAACAGTGGACTAACAAGCATGACACATTGACAACAGTGGACCAACATACATTACACAGTGACAACAGTTGACCAACAAGCATGACACAGTGACAACAGTTGACCAACAAACATGGCACAATGTCAACGGAAGCGCTTTGTTGATAACGCTCCACTGCAGGCCCACCGTCCACACGAGGAGCAGGCTCCTTGATACTTCACATTGCAGGAGCTGCCAAGACAATGCCAGGAACGACATAGGACTACGACCATCATCACTTTTACCCCAGATACGTTGAAATGGTGAAATGATACCGTCGTGTCTCTAGTCAGCAGAGTCTCGGTAAAACACTTCAGTGTTCTTTTCAACGTGCAACGGCAATGCCGCGTTCACCTTCCAATGACCTGCACTCAAGCTGCGCCGCAGCTTCTAGGATGAGAATAGTTCGTAGCGTATTATCTTCACGTCACTGTTTACCCTCCTTGTACACCGGAACCGTCCAGTTTGATGTTGGCGCCAAGTGCTCAGAGCCTCTATGACTATTGACCAGAGTAATATTGACCAATGTAAATTAACTTCATTGACGACAGTATGCTGCACAGAATGGATCGAAAACCGATCTCGTTGCTATCCACGCATGTGATCTGTGCGACTGAGACACTTGTTAAGCGCGTTATCATTTGGGTATCGAGTGACCTCCAACTGAACAGTTTATAACAATATTTTACACATGGTCCTAGGTTGCTCTGGTAATGTGTTTCGGGGACACTTTCGTTTGGGAGAGCAATGTAAATGTACACAAGCCTCTGTATGGGCTCTTTTGCATTTCATGAAGCGTTGTTATGAATAGATCCTCACCTTCACGATATACCACCATGTGTCCGGGTCTGCATAAGGATCTGATATCCAGCATCAGGGATGCCTGCAGCAACACGTACAGATCTGAACCATTGACTGGCAGCAACACGTACAGATCTGAACCATTGACTGGCAGCAACACGTACAGATCTGAACCATTAACTGGCAGCAACACGTACAGATCTGAACCATTGACTGGCAGCAACACGTACAGATCTGAACCATTGACTGGCAGCAACACGTACAGATCTGAACCATTGACTGGCAGCAACACGTACAGATCTGAAACATTGACTGGCAGCAACACGTACAGATCTGAACCAATGACTGGCAGCAAAACGTACAGATCTGGACCAATAACTGGCAGCAACTCCCGGGGCTAAACAGATACTTCATAAGTAAAATACAGTATCTATATCTCAAACTAAGTGTTGGATACCTTCATTACACGATACAGATCTGTCAGAATTGAGCACTGGATACCTTCATTACACAATACAGATCTGTCAGAATTGGGCACTGGATACCTTCATCACACAATACAGATCTGTCAGAATTGGGCACTGGATACCTTCATCACACAATACAGATCTGTCAGAATTGGCCACTGTTACCTTCATCAGAGAATACAGATCTGTCATACTAAACATTAGAAACATACACTCATGGTCAACATATGTAAATGTATATTTTAGGTTACGCATTTGATACCTTCATCACACAATACAGATCTGTCAGAATTGAGCACTGTTACCTTCATCACACAATACAGATCTGTCATACTAAACATTAGAAACATACACTCATGGTCAACATA